AGCACTGAAGATGTTACCTAGCCAGGTAATGAAACGTTTGCAAGAAAAGAACCAAGCTCAGAGAACCCCAAGGACTCCACACTTCAATAAATGCACTTAAGATGAACAAATATGCTATTTATCTATCTTGGACTTTCTTGGACTCTGGTCCCCCTTTGCCTCAATAAAGAAGAAAATTATTCGGATTTAAAAATTAATAAGTAACTTATTTATGTGACTGAGGTTATGTGACTGAGAATCTTTGAACATGAGAAATCTGAAGAATGTAGGAAGCTTAATTCAGCTACTATACTAAATCTGAAAATAAAATAGATCAATGTGGAAATGCTAATTATTATATAGTAAATTAAAGATAGTAAGAACTTTTTAAAAATAATTCACCAAAGTTTAATATGGCATTCTTTCACCTGGAGACCAGACTGCTAGCAAATTTTAATTACTTCTTCATGGAAAAGAAACAGGAAAAAAACATATTTATCTGCCTCCTTAAGTAATGTGCATCTATGTAAATAAAGACATCTTTTAAAATCCTTTAGAATTTCATTCACCCTACCAGCAAAATCTTTTGCATAAGAAGACTCCCATTCAAAATCAGCAGTTTCCAGATAGCATTTAGGTTCTTTGTGTTTCTCTTCTATAAATTTTACAGGCCCCAAACATTGAAAACTCTGTTTTCCTTATCAGGGACCAACCATTCAAAGCCATAGCATTGGTGAGATCGGAGAATCTCCAAATCATTTAGCACATTAGGACCGGTCAACTTCTTAACTACTTACCTCCAGGTGTGTAAGAGTCTTCAGCTTGCATTTCATGCCTTCCATGTCACAAAGAGGCTCAGTCATTTTCTTGGTCTAAAATTTATTTCAGGATATAATACTACATATAACAGATGGTCCTGTGATTTGTACTAGTCCCTTTTCTTAAGTAATAACAAATTTCAGAACTGAAGGCAATAGCAGTTGAAAAGTATAACACAAAAGTGAAAGTAGCAAAGTCCACAGATAACATTAATGTTTAATGCAAATATTGTAGGTTGGACTGCCATGAATGGTTGAGAGGCACCTATTAAATTCATATCAGTTACTGACAAAGAGGCAGTGTGCAATTATGTAACACACAGGTGTGGCAAACACAAACCCAGCTCTGAATCATGCATGAAGATCAGCCTAAGAAAGGATGGTCATCAGATAAAGAGTTTCTGCAGCTGAAGCTTGGGGCAGTATATAACTATTGCAAAACAAACAAACAAGCCCTCTTGTTTAGGCAACAGTAATATCCTGGTGTATTCACCGTGCTTCATAATTAAACATAACTGAAAGAAGTGTAATTTCCCATCCTGTTTTTTCTTTTCCCCATCTGATTCTTGCACAAAAGTAGTAACAACTATGATACCCTACTTGCAGAACAAACTGAAAGAAAGTGAGAAGGAAATCAGCTAACTAGATTTTCTCTTTTGCCTTAGGAAATACATGACAATAAGCAAACCCAGACACTGCATATCTCCGCCTGTATTTCAGTGTCCTCCCACAATTGAGACAGCTCAAAAATGGCTTGAGATCAGTGTTTTTCAAATTTGGCAACTTTAGGCATGCTGGCTGGGGAATTCTGGGAGTTGAAGTCCACACAGCTTAAAGTTGCCAAGTTTGAAAAACACTAATGTTATGCTGTGGAAGTGGTGCTTCCCTTATTATCCCATCTCAAAACACTGTGTGCAAGCAATTTTAATGTGCATCAAGGAGGCAGCCTGAAATGACATGCTCTGTGTCAGCAATTGCATGACTTCAATTGGTTATGCCTGTTTCCTGTGTCCACCCACCTCAGTTTGTTCCCAGACCTCTTTGCAATCCCTCAGTTCTATTTTGGTAGCAAGTGAGACCAGAACCTGGCTTCTCCAGCAACTTTTTTATTTTTGAAATGAATTGATAAAGTAATCAGCTGGTGGACTTAGGGGGTGCAAAGACTTGAATTGACCAGTTCATGCCTGGCATAATGCATGTAACTGAAAATATAATTGAAAACATTCAACTTTTGTAGTACTGCAGCCTGTCTGGTAATTCCTCTCTTCCTCTCCTCACATTGGGATAGTTCTTAGGGTAATTTAAAGTTACCACGCTAGTCTTCACAGCTAAACCCCTTCTCAGTCTCTAGCTCTTCAGCAGCAGCTACCCCCTGACTCATTTAGACTCATTCTAAAAATAATGTGTATTGCATTAGATGATTCTATTTGCTTACAACTTAAAGGTGGTAACAGGTGATCCCATTTGCTAATAATTTGCTCTACTGCATAGATTTACAAGACAGTAAAACTATTGTTAAACTGTATTTGTGCACTGACAGCAGGACTCAGCTGGATCATGGCTTACTTTATGTTATTCAGTTGTACATAATATACTACTCCTAGAAAATACAAATTTTCACTATTGTAATACAGTTTTACATTATGACGTATATATTGCCTATTTCATGAAAAGTGCAGTGGAGCCCAATTTCCTTCTCTTTGATGGGGCTTTGCATCAGGGGTCAAATAGATGAACAAAAATATAGGGTTGTTATTGCTTTCAACAGCTTCTTTTCCATCTAAATTGCCAGCACAATTGCCATGCATTTAGTTGAACTCTCCAGCTTCATCATTAGCTCAGGTTATCTACTGCCTTAAACTATTTTTCCTCTGCACCAGTGTTTCTCAAACTTGGCAACTTTAAGATGTGTGGATTCTTTGCAGTTGAATTCTGGGAGTTGAAGGTCCACACATTTTAAAGTTGTCAAGCCTGCGAAACACTGCTGTACCCATTACTCATTAGATGGCCTAATAAATCAGGATATTGACTCCCAGAAACATTAGTGTATTCACGCCAACATCATATCAGTTTCACCAAAACTGTATGCAATAAAATAGTGGCCTGTTTCAATCCATTTCTTCATGGGTTTCTGTTCTTTATTTCCTCTCCTACTTTCTGTTTCTGTTGCATTCAAAATCTGATTTATTACACAGAAGCTCTTTTCAATAGCAAGTGCAACAGTTTGTTTCAAACATAAACACTGATATTAATTTACATATTCTATCTTAATTACTAAAAGATCCAACAGAAGAAAGTGACAAAACCATGGGAAAAAAAGTGAACAATTACAATTAATTACAGATTAGATGTTTCATATTTCCTTTCTTTCTAAACATGTTAGATTGATTTACGATTGCACCCAGTTAGGTAGGTTAGCTTTTAGTCACTGAGAAATTCTGTTTTTCAAGAATGATTTTTCAGGGAGCCTTTTGTGGGACAGCCGGGACAATAGATGAGAGTGAGGAATGGAAAAGAGAGTATTTCAGGAAGATTAGTGACAGATGTGTTGGAAGGGAGGCTATGACACAATTAATGGGGAATGGGAAGTTTGGAAGAGAAAGTCAAAGTTAAGCAATGTGAAGCAGGATGTGCAATTGACCAGACCCTTTGTAGCTGTGCAGGATCTGATGGAGAGTGAGTATTGCTAGTTGTGGCTCATTCCACAAAGAACACTTCTGGGAAATGAGAACAATGTAGCAGCACCACTGATGATCAGGCAACTCTGGGAGAGATGGTGGAGCTAGTCCAGCCCCAGAAGCTGATGGCTGATACAGTCTTTTTCAGAGATCAGTGAGATAAACAGAGGCTAGAACAAAGAGTAGTTCCAAATCTTTGGAATGGAAGCTGGAGCAGCAGAAATACAGGAGCTGAAAGCAGCCCTGGTAGCAGCTTCTGAAGACCAGTTAGATCTTAGTTTAAAAATGTAGTGGCTGAGTAGTGACTGGGTTCATAGAACATAATACATTAAAAAAAAACTAGTTTGCTTTTCATGGCTCTTGTTAAAATCTCATGCCCAAAAAGTTTTTGCCTGACATAGACATAATAGATGTGTGTAATAATTTGTGATTATGGCATGGGTACATAAATTAGCAGAGGTAATAGTCAACCATTGACGGATAACCCTAATGTAATGCTAATCCTAACCCATTTAGTGGGGTTAGGAAAAACACAAAACAGCCAAAATAAGCAGACATAATCTATTGGTGTGTGAAACTCGCTGGTATACAAAAAAGGAAGAAGACTCTTTCGGTTCAAGCTTACATTCTATGTTCCTTGGTTTACAAAATTCTTATAATCAGAACTCTTCTTTCAATACCAATCAGTGATCAGATTTCCCTTATGGCTTTATACATCAATCACACCCAGATTTACTCATGGAGGTTCAGTACTCTTCACTGATGCCTAGAGAAGCGCCTTTTTGAAGCTCTCATAATCTGGAACTCAAACTCATCTAAAGTTACAAACATGTTCACATACTGTTCCTGGCAATAATACAAAAGTATGTGTCAGTTGTGTTCTTTCAGGTTTGATTGTGGAGTTCCTTCTCCTGGGTAGTTTGGTCTCCTATAAATGCAAAGCATCACTTCTCTCACTCGCTACCCTCACTTAGTACCGTGTTTAAAGCACAATTATGGACAGCTCAGTCCTGGCCCCCAGCATTTGTTTCTTCATGCTATCCTGTTCTTTAGCCCCAAAGGCACCCAGAATGACATAAAAAAACAGTAGAATGACAGTTTCTGCCCTCTTACAGATATGACACATAAACAAAAGAGGGTTGTGACAGTGACGGGAAAAAGAAGTTCTTTTTGTTCTTAAAATTATAATTTGTATAGTCACCAGGTAGAGAAACAAACGTGAGGCCCTTTAAAATGATCACTTGCTGATAGGAGTCAGTTGGAGGAAAGCCAAAAGCCGAGGTGATGCAATAGTCCTGCTTTCTTCTTGCCTTGTTTTTCAGAACAACAGATATGCTGAGACTTGAGAACACTGTTCATTGATGCCCTGTGCGTGTATATAGTAATATTTATATGGTCGGTGTTTTGATCAAATGATAGAATATCAATTCATAAAATAATAATATGAAAAATAAAGTACAACAGAAACTTACACACATAAGCATAATGAATAGGATTATTGGAGCCTACTTGCAACAAGAGAAAGCACAAGAGCCCAAAATCTACCTGTGTAGCCCACCACATGTAAAATCTGTGAGAAGCACTCTTGGTATGAACGTGGTAATATTTTCATCCTAAACCTGGCAGATTAAAGTGCAGCTGTTCATTACAGTGATAGTGCTGAAGAGCTCTGCAACAGGAATTTTCACTGGTATCTTCTAGGTATTCTAGTCTTGAAAATCCTGAACGCCTGTGCCTAGAATTACTATGATTTGTGCAGCACCTACTTCATAAACAAGTTGTGTCTATTTTGCAAATGTCTGCAATTTTAGATGGCACTAAATCAGAAGAGGCAAAAAGAATCACCCACATGTAGATAGGGCATAATAAAAACATTTCAACTGAAAAGTCTTTTCTCCTAGACATCACTACTCTCCATTGACTATGTAGGATGGCCTCCAGTCTATGATCATTTTGAATTGATTCCACATGACAAATGT